CATCCATCCATCCATCCATCCATCCATCCATCCTCCAAATACAATTAAGTATTTTCCAAGCTTAAAGGTTTTGACCTCAGAATAAAAAGATGCTGTACATCGACAAGCAGTTCACATTTCTCTTTGAATCACAATAAAAAACATCAGAGCCTGTTACTGCCAAACACTGAAAACAGATGGAGATAGAAAAAAAAACACTTTGGAAATTTCAAATGAAAGTTTAAGGTTAATGTATCCAATAAAAATTATATACACCCCCTTTCTGACATTTTGGCTATATATAACAAAAAAAAGAGATGTACAAGGTATAAGGAATTAAGATTCAGATGATCATAGGCACCAGAAAGCTTCCTAACCCATTTACTAACTAGATGTGATGACCACAAACCGTCCCTACCAGCTGACACCCTGCATGCAGCAGGCTTCAACGTTCTGCAGATGGATCAAGTGAAACCTGTCTATGAAAAGAGAAGTTGTAGGAGAATTGTTTCATTTATGAAAAGGATATTTGATTTTCCTACTAATTCAATTAAACCTGCAAAGGTCTTTTAAGAAAAGTAATGACTGGAAAACTGAAACTCTGTAGCAGCCTTTTAATTGTTTGAGGATATTTTTTAATTCACATCGTTTTTGTTGCCATCAACAATTTTTTAGTTGAAATGTTTTGACTGCTCTTCTTGGTACAGCTGGTAGGCCTCTTTTATTATGCTGTACCACCCAGCTTACTGTTGGCACTGAGAAGGTCTTAAAGTAGGATGCTGCCACTACCATGCTTTGCTGATGTCACATTGTTCTAATATCTGAAAATATAAAAATAAAAAAAATAAAAAATCCCTTATTTCCCTGTGGCCAAAACAGCCTCATCTTTCTGGACAGGTTCCCAGTCCATCACAGGGCCTGACCAAGAGACTTTTGGTTTTTGTTTGAAGTAGCAAGCTTTAGATTGTCTTAATTATCTGTTCTCTAAGTTCATTATTATGTAATGCTGGCTCCACTGTGGACAGCTGAGCTGTTCTTCCAGGACTTTGTAGTTCATGGTGGGGTTGAGCCTTGGCTGTCCCTGAGTTTTTCCAAAACATTAAACCGATTCTATTAAATGTAGCTGTGACAGCTTAGGCCAGGGGTGTCAAACTGGTTCCAAAAAGGGCCGTGTGGCTGCAGGTTTTCAATCCAACCAAGCAATAGCACACCAGATTCCAGTCATCTCATCAGGTCATCATGTTCAGATTGGACTCACTTAATGAGATGGCTGCAGTCTGGTGTGCTACTGCTTGTTTGGAAAGAAAACCTGCAGCCACACGGCCCTTTCTGGAACCAGTTTGACACCCCTGGCTTAGGCCTTCAAGTAAAAAATACTTAGACTTAGATAAACCTTAAAGTCATTTTGTATACACAGTGTATACAAAACAAGATTTCGATACATACAGCTTTCCGACAGTGAATGAGCAGCAGCTTAGCATTGAAATGAACATTTCCATTTATAAAGTGCAGCAGTGATTAAAAAATAAACAGAGTGTAGGAGAGACTTGGTGCACAAGGCATTGATGTGGAAGGATCAGAGCAGTGCAAAAATAAATAAATATACAGTAAATGGTGCAAAATTCTGTAGAAACGCTGAGTTGAGTTCTATTTTAAAGATTCACCATTTAGTGCAACTATAATGTTTATAGCGTGATGCAGTGTTTTGATTTGACACTTGATTAGAGTTTCAACAGTCTTGTGGCAGCAGGGAAAAAGCAGTTTCAGAACCTGCTGGTCCTGCAACAAATGATGCAAAGCCTCCTTCCTATTTTAACTGATTATTTTGTAAATGATTAATAATATGTTCAAAATAACAGCTGCACTGATTAATGATAATTAGCCAGATGTTAACAAGCCAGGACCCGGTCAAGTTTCTTTATAGGACCTTTGGTGCCATTTGTTAAAATATTTGGTTTACTGTCAATTTGACATTGTGCAGATTAGAAAAACAACTCACTATAAAGTCAGACCAGTGCACCCAGTTCTAAAATAAAAGATCTGTTTGGTCTAAGAAGGCTTTAAACAGATTACTGTACAACATTTATAGAACTTCAAACAAGGACAAGAGAAACCTGTATTCCTAGAAATGAGGGGCAGCACCACCTGGCGATTGTTAAATGAAATTACACCGTTTTCATTGGAAGAGTCTGAAATTTTTTTGGAAAGAAGACAATGCCCTCCTGACTTAAGCTGAAATTAGAAATTGTAAAAGTTTCACAAGTAGGCAGAAACCAGTCAAAGAAGAAACAAGTTTAAAGTGCTAATGGAACATAACAGACAATAAACATTGAAAAGCTTTCAATTTGAATTATTGGAGCATAGTATCTTCTTCTAATAACACCACAGAAGTGTAGTTTGAGTGACTTCATTTTGTTTTTCACTTTGAAAACAAAAAGGAGCCCCCTTTAGTGCTTCGTTGTGTTCAGTGTTGTGCCGTCATATTTTAGATGCATAGAAAAATAACCACAGTTTCAATTCGAAATAATGGCTTCAGACAAATAGAGAAATTACTCCCAATCTTGATTGCAGACGAGTTACGGAGAGTTTCTCTTCTGAAGTATTATTCAGCTCAGGGTAAGCACAGCTCAGCAAACCACCCCATCATGACCTCTCCCAGCTCTCAGCGTGCGGCCCAGCTGACAGCAGCTGTGGGGTTTTCTGTGTCCACAGGTGTGCTGGAGTGGCCATTTTGGACCAAGCTGATCGTGGTGGCCATCGGCTTCACAGGCGGCCTCATCTTCATGTACATCCAGAGCAAAGTCTACCTGCAGCTGTGGCGTCGCCTCAAGGCCTTCAACCGCATCATCACGGTGCAGAACTGCCCAGAGAAGAACCTGCATAACCCTCAGGCCCGGCACGGCGTCCTCGCCAACGGGAAGCACGAAGCTATTGAGGCCCAGACCGCTCCGGCTCCAGAGATAGACTCTGACATGTCTGTGGAGGCTGCTGTGGCGCCGGATCAGAACCCCGTCTGAAAGCTGAATCATGCTGTGCTCCTCTTCAGGAGGGAGCCAGGCGTGAGCATGGCATGATCATGACTCATGCAGAAGTGTATCTTTCTTCTCCTCTGCAGTGATTGCTTCTTCTAGATGAAGCAGATGATGCTACCCATCCTGTCCTGCAGTGATCCAAAGTAGGACAGCTGTCACCATAAGACGGTACAAACCTTTAAAGAATTGGAAGAAAGGAGCAGGTGGGGCAATGAAAAGGAGACAGCAGATAAAGCATGGACATGATTTAATGGTACGCTGATGCCATTTTAAAGTATGCACTTTGTAAACCTGCACTGATATGACAGTGAAAACTCTTCAGGATGCTTTCAATCAAAGGTCTCAGTTTGCTTCAAGAAAGCCTGATAAAACTCAAAATCAAGTTAAAATACAAAGATATTTTTTGCACAACTCCCACTGATACAAGACTATATAGTTATTACCATGTAACAAAGAGTCCATCACATCTTTAAATGAATCAAACATTCAGATTCTGATGTAAATTAAGGCTTCAAACCCTTAGAAACGTCAGGACATCACATTTACACTGAGACTGGTGTAGTTTCTCAAGTACTCAGACCCCCTGAAATATTTTACATTCCTTTATTTTAATGGGAGTTTGCATCATAAAGGAAAACAAGGACTTCAACAATAATGAAACTGATGGAGAAAAGTTTGGTAGGCAGCCTTTTAACCTGATACCTCTGTAGAAAATCCTGTTTAGACATCAACTGTCAGATATAATTAAGATCATTAGTACAGAGGCCATCTATATGTTTTATTTCTATAAGTTCAGATGTTAAAAAACAGTGGTGAACAAACAGCATCATGAAGAGCAATAAACACAGCAGGTGGGTCAGGGAGGAGGATGTGGAACAATATAGAAAGCATTGAACATCTCACAGAGTTCTCAGCAATGGTCCTTGGTAAATTTAGTGGAGCCTCAGCGAGCTGCAGCTCAGGTGGCAAAGTCTGTTGGCCGGAGAGCTGCCAACAGACTTTGACGAGTTTGTTTTAAACCACTGGGAAGTTGCTAAGATCAGCTGAGAGCAACATTTAGCTTTTTGGCCTACATGCACAACACTATTCTACTTTATTAATCCCAAACCTTAGGGAGAGGGTTACCTTTCTGCAAGGCAACAATAAAAGATACTGTCAACCAAAAGGAAACCATAATCTCTCTATTCAGTCTCAATTTGAGCTACTTTAAAAAAATAAAAAAAAAACAATAAAACAATGATTTTAGTCTTTTGATACGTCAAGTTAAAGAGACAAGCTCCAAAAGACCTGCTACTGGAATTAGATGTTCATCAAAGCTTTGGCAGAGGGACTGAATACAAATGCAAAATTCGACAAAAGGCAGCAAATCGTAATTTTTTTTTCAGCTTTATTGCGGTGACATAAACTAATAGAAAGTTAGGGGTATAATGTGATTAAATAAACAAAAAACTCTTAAAAAAACGCTGAACTATATATTTTCATTTGCATAACCGTGCTTTGCTCATATTGCTATTTACCTTTTTCCAGTATTTTCCATTGACTTTAAACATGTGGTACAATAAATGTCAACTTGTCTGAAAAGTCAAATCAGGAGATTTGTAAAACCTTAAAATCAGATGCTGTAAAGGCTCTGAACTGAAGCATGCTGAGGCCTTAAAACACTGCTGGACAATCAGGTCTTCTGATACCAAAGACTAGTCGTTATAGCTATTCCATCTTTATTCCAGTCTGAATCTAAACCTGTGACCTTTGAAATGTATTAGGGCAGCTTTTGTTATTGTTTGTGGAGTTTTTTTTGCTCTCTGCAGGTCAGTAATTTAAATGTTAGAATAGATATTTTACAATTTTTGTTTTGTTTCCATTTTATTTTAGAGTGCAGAGATGTTTATTTAAACCTTAAAAAGGGAATATTGCTGACTTGTGTTCAATTTTCTACAGTTGTGGTTTCCAGTGTCACAGTTCAGTTATAGATTGTCCTTTGTCTTAAATCCACAGCGTATGTAAGTTATTTCATAGCTCTGATTGGAAAATCTATGGCTAATAAGGAAAACTTTGTTGTCTGTGCAATAAACAATGAATGTAGAACCGCTGAGAAAAAAGCTTTTTTTAAGTTGTTAAAATATGAGACATACAAGGTTGGTATGGTTTAATTTTATATCTAGCACTGTCTGCTGGACACTTGTGAAACAGCAGCCTCTCCACACATGGCGTAGAAGTTCTACAGAAGCTGTGATGCAGCCACAGACTGAATGAGGTGAGTGTTAGTGAGACTCTGACATCTCCTCCGGGTCATTGAGCTCATCGTCCAAATGATCATGTTCATTTTCTTCATCACCCTCATGCTCCGACTCCTCTTTTTCTTCTGTCTTTGTGTCCAAAGCTTTATTTGATATTTTACGCATTTTAATATTTGGAAGTTTCCTCAGATCTCCGGTCCATTCTCTGCCAAAGAAAACATTTGTTTATTCTATTGCCTGTAAAATACTACACTCAAGAATCTTTTCCTCTATCTTACGTATCAAAGCATTATGTAGACAAGGCTGCCAGTTATTGTGTCTGTGGTTACCGTTATCTGAAGCATGGTTCAAACACTGACCTGAACATTTTCAGTTGCTTTGTGTTGATGATGTCTGGAATTTCTGAAAACAATTAGAACAGGGAACGATGAAATCAGACTGAAAATCCCTTCAAGCGTTGTTTCTACGAACTGTGGTTGTCTGAACTGCTGATCATGATGTGAGCGACGGAGGGCCAAAGACAAATAGCTCGTTTGTGCTCACAAGCATGACCGAGAAAGTATACTCTGTTTTAAAAACAGCGACGTGCACAACAAGAAGATGTTGGTGATGACTCACCTATACCAACACCATCAAACAGCGCTCGCTCTCGCTCTACAGTCTGCTTGATTATCGCTTCTCTGGCACCATGGAGACGACCCTGTCGACCCTTGATCCCATTCACCAGCTCGATCTGCTCAAGTTCTGAATCAAATCTGTGGAGGTAACTAACAGTTGGAGGAAAAAAAACAAAATCAGTCACATAACCGCACATTATAAAAACCAAGACTGGATAAAAAAAGAATAAAAAATAAAGCCAGTTCAGGAAACTCTGTGCTGTAGGGTGAAGTTTTTAAGGGTTGAACACACCTGATTCAAACTACTGTTAGCAGCTTCATGTTAAAAGATGGAAGAGGTAATAGAACTATTTAAAACCCCTTATCTAGGCATCACATATGTTTGTTTTATGTTTTCTTTGTTTTAAACTCTATAAGGTGAGTGTAGTCCAGTTTAATAACTACATTTTTACAAATTAAAAAAATGCATGCATGGAATGCATGGTTGCTTGGAAATGTACAGGGGACTCTGTGGTTTAGGGTCACTGAATGCTACAGAGAAGCTTAATGGATACCAGTTTGTCTGGGAGGTGTGATAATATATTAATTTCCAAAAGTTCAAAAACAAAACTCGTGTTATTAAATCATCCTCAAATGTTAACTGAATATGGCAGACAATCTATATGAATGTAATCAAACTACAAATTTGTGATTTGTCATCCTTCAAGAAAAACTGACCAACATTAGAGATAACCTATGACTTTTCATCCCCTCTCAGAGCACCAGAAGCAGTCCTGTACCTTTCAATAATCTCACAAGCATCTTTCTTAGTGTAACACGTCTTGTTCGGATCCAACTGACTCTGAAACCACGTCAGTTTCTCACCTGTGATTTGAAACACAGAACAATAAGTGAAAAAAAACTCTAATTCTATCTTAATAATAAAAATGATACCAGACTGACCTATGTGGCTCAGACGTGTTGCTTTTTCATTCTTCATCCTGCAACATTAAAGAGAAATTCTTCACATTAAAGAGGGCCAAACAGTCTGATTCCTACAGTGTTTTGATCTTCGATAAACAAACCTCTCCTTTCTCTTCAGTCTGACCTCTTCCCGGTTCAGATAAGCAGCTTTTCTGCTGTACGGATGAACAACTTTGTCTGCTCCTTTGCCTCTTTGAGACTTCGGCTGAGAGACAAAAAAAAAAATAAAACATCCAAACTATCATCCCACCATCTAAGTACTTTTTTTTTATATATATATAAATCCAGAATGAAGTTAGATACTCTTACCATTTTGTTCACCAAAATTCACGTGTGGAGCTTGTATTGACAAAAAGCACCGGAACCGGAAGTTGTCCTTCGTTGAAATGTGTCCCATGAGAAACTTAGGGCAGTGTAAAAACGTCCTTCTTTGGTTACAGAAATATTTTGCTTCTCTAGCGCTTCCTAAATCTTTTAACGAGGATCCTTTTCATCTTTGTTAAAATTTAGATTAAAAAGTTGTCAATCTAAACTTTCTCCCGTGCAATTAACTATAAGTCACCTAAAAACTGTTGTTATACATATTTATCTTCCCATAAACTTCCCATAAATAAGACTTACTTTTATCTAAACCTGTGGACTAAGTGGTTTAACCTTTTGTAAGCCTGAAGAGGCCTTACAATGGTATTTTGTAATTATTCTTTTAGTTTTTTTAGCTTCATACATTTTTAGGCAGGTTAATGTGGATGTTTCATATTTGTATGTCCCATCGAGTTTGTATGTAAATGTTTGTCTAATTAAAAGGAGTTGAAATGTTTTTTATTTCTGACGGTCTAGACAAATTTAGTATGTTGCGTTCCTTCTCAGGTCATAAGATATAAAACACATATTAAAACATTATTGGGATAGAGATAGCAGTCGCATATTTTCCAATATAGTACACAGTAAAAAAAAAACAAAAACCAAAAAAAAAAAGACGTCAACAACAAACCATTCAATTTACTCTGTCTTTTGGGGAAGCTCCATGTTCTAGTATTGTTTTTAATGAAAAGGAATTGTACCCCAGATCAGTCAATGCACTAGAGACGACCCTTCCATCTACTACTTACAGAAGACATTGTAGCATAACATAAAAAACTCAGAGATGCAACAAAAATGACCACAGCTGTCTGGGTGTTTACCGATCACAGAATGCCCACTGTTTAACCCACTGTGTCCCACTCTAAAGCCTTATCACTTCATTTCGTTGTGAGTCATCCAATTAAATACTTCTCTGCTCTATTTTTGAAACAATAGCAACTTCCTTTTTTATCCAGTATTCTAAATATCCTGGCACTGCTAGTTCATTTTAACATTAGCAACATCTGCCATTTAATCCCCATTAAATCCCACATGAGCTGGGACCTGCAGAAAATTGAAAATATAATTCTAACTAACTACATCTGCTCTTACCTTGCATCTGGCATCCTTTAAATACATCAGTGTAGACAGAGAATCAGAACAAATGACCACATTCTGTTGCCTCTACCAACCACATTCCGCATTGGATCGCAATCAGCTCAGCTGTAAACACAGAAACACCGTCAAATAAATGTTGACATTGCTGGACCCCAAACTGGGGAACATAAATACCAAAACCTACTCTTCTGTTTACAGGATCTTTTTAACCATCTGTAGAAATCTGGATATAGTCTCTCCATTCAGTCCTGAGGTGTGCATTTGCATAAATAACCAGACATCCTTTAAAAATCTTTCATTGGCTAGTTCAATGACAAATCCATATCTAGCTCAGGTCAAAGCCCATGTGGAATTTCTGGCCACATCACTGGGGGATCAACAGCATTATTATTTCCAAGACTAAGCTCCTGTAAATAACATTTCAATGAATGCTGAAAACAGCTTATATTTAGCTTATTTTTTCTTAGACAAACTTTATTGTCATCTTGTATACGCAGACTGTATACCAAACAAAATTTCATTACATACAGCTTTCCTACAGTGAATGGGTAGCACCTTAGGATTGAAAATGAACATTTCCACAGTGCCTTCTCCAAACTCCCAACTTTCTTCCTGTACAGAATATGAAAAATGTTCTCCCCCAGCCCCCTTGAAGTTAGATACATTATATACAAGGGGCGTTCAATAAGTAATGCCCCTGGCCCACTTCCAGATGTTTGATCGAGCTGAAATTTTGCATGTGAAGTATTTTAAATCTCTATAGATTACATAGCAAATTACAGCTCTGAACTAATAGTGGTTTCTGATTTACTGGTGTTAAAACTGGGTCAAGTCTATGTTTTTGCATTTGAAAGGACGCACACAATAGGAGACTTTTGATCAAATAAAAGTACCTTATAGTGATAATATCCCATAATATAAACTTGTAAAACATTTTGCAAGGTCATATAATGGGCATTATAACCATATGTTATTTTAATTTCATCAAAAGTCTCCCGTGGTGTGAGTCCTTTTCTAATAGAACAACTGGATCACTGCTTGACACTCAACAGGCTCCATTTCAGACTTTACTCAGTTCAAACACCTGTAAGTCAGAAACCACAAATAATTCAGAGCTGCAATTTGCTACTTAATCTATAGAGATTTAAATAAAGTCACATGCAAAATTTCAGCTCGATCAAACATCTGGAAGTGGGTCGGGGGCATTACTTATTGAACGCCCCTCGTAGCTTAATCAAACTTTATATGCCTTAGACTTAAAGGGATTTCCCCTGACTTGACCAGTAGTGCAGGAAGTGGAGGGGTTCCAATACACATCCTCAGTGATTTAGCTTTCATAGTGTCAAGTTTTTCCACAAAAAAATGTTTTGTTGGTAATTACAGTATGCTACTTATGAAACACTCAAAAAGGCAAATATAAATACGAAAACACAGTAACTGAAAGAGTCAGCACTTATAACTTCTCAACAAATGTCCCTGGCTAATTTGGAAAGCTTGTTGGTCTTCATGGGGAGGCCTGTTGTTTTATGGTGTCACAACCCCTCAGTTCTCTTATGGAGGAGAACCACCGCCTTAGTCTGCCAGTACAGGAACCACCACCTTAGTCTGCCACCTTGCCCAGAATGACCTCCCGGTCTGATAATGTCCTCAGACAAAGTAAGCAGCTGCCACTACCAACAACTGCTTCCCCCTCTTGAGGAGCCAGACGGTTTGCCAGAATCCCTCTAAGGCTGACCCGTATTCTTTTTCCATGGTCCCATGGTCCTCCCAGGCCTGAGTTTTTACCTTTGCAACCATCCGGGCAGCAACACACGTGGCCTCCGATTACCTGCTTGCTGCCTCAGGATTACAACAAGCCAACCAGGAAATCCTTCTTTAGCTTGACAACGTCCATTACTGCATGTGGTTTGGAGGGTTGCTGCCACAACAAGCACCACAGACTTTATGGCCACAGCTACGGGCAGCCACATTGACAACAGAGGTAGAGAACATGGTCCATTCAGACTTCATGTCTTCATGAAGACATTAAGCAGACTTCATGTAGCACATGGGGACCCCAGGATTGCAGCATGGGGCGCTATCAAGCACACTGATCACGGATGCTAAGAGGGCCTGAAACTTGGCCTATGTTTTGTAAAATAAACGCATCAACCCAGCTCTATCATGCTCATGGTGACTTGTTTAGACAAGTAAGACTCCTCCTGTATGTCTGCTTCATTTTTTAGAAAGATGATAAAAAGATTAAGGCAGCTAATACTGAATCAGATTTCTTAAAGGCACAATGTGTATCCATTACATGCCACACCCAAACCCTGACAGAACAGGAGGAAGCTGGCTTAGAATGGCACTGTATGTCTTCACAAGTTAACATGAGAGGCCCCTGGTCGAAGACCCCTCTGCTGTTTCTGCTGCTGTTGAACCCCTTGCAAAATAGCTCCCTTACTAATCTTCTAAAAACCAACAGCCCTTGTGGAGAGCAAAATATGTCAGTCTACAACTTTTACTGTAATAGGGTCAGTTTAGAGGTTGTCTTGATGTGGTTTTACAGATACCAGTCAACATGCAGGGACACATTTTAGGATGACACCCCTAGACCTGCAAACCCACAATAAAATCCTACTCACGTGAAACTGTCAGGTGCTGGCCAAACTGTCACACTTACGTAGTTTCTTGTGCTAGTTTTATGTAGATGTTAACATAACAGTGGTTATTGAGTCCAATTATATCATGTAAACATGTAAACATGTAAATTTATCATGTAAACAGTAATATGGATATGAAGTGTTAATTGATCGCATGCTATAATGGCTAAACATTTTGAAACATGTATAAAGGATTTATTAAATCTCTTTTCAAGAGTGGAAAACGTAACAGCCTCAACCTAAATCTTTTATTAGATCCTAACATTTTGTCCTTTTATAAGTATTATTTCAGTTAATACTACCATATAAATATAATATATCTGTATTTCACCCTGAATAGAATTGTATCCAGGTTTAATTTGTATAGTTTACAAAATGTCACACATGTTGTTCAGAAACTTAAAATACTAATTATTCAATGGTACTTATTTTATAAATCCCTTACCTATAAATAACCAGAGCTGTGTCCCACATAAGAAACATGAAAGATTTGTGCATTTACCATGTCTTACTGGTGTCACATAACCCGTTTCTTTATATCTGATACCCAGTATAGCTGTATAGATAAATACCCAGCTATATAAATACCCATGTAAACACTCTGTGCATTAACCCTGTATAATAATCCTGCTAACAAAAAAGCTGCATCTTTTCTTGCTTTGGCACCTTCTTCTTCTCTTTTGACTATTTGATCTGATGTAACGAGTAGATTTCTCCACTGTAAGATCAATAAAATCACTCAATCAGTCAAACAATCACCAGTTATAATATATGGTGCATTATTTGTAACAAGATTATTAAGGACAAATAAATTATTTCTCTCAACATCTAGAATTGGGCCAGTTTTCTATTAACAACGTGGTGATCTGAAGGACATTTAAAAATTTTACTGAATCAACCACCATATATTTTTCATGTCTTAAGATAAGTAGAGTTCCCAAACTGAGTTCCTATTTGTTTCTATCATAGCCAGAGCTTTTTTGTTTAACTGTAGCTTAGAAGAAAGTCCCTCTGTTCTCTGTTCCTTATGATGAGACTGCTGATGCTTAAACCCTCCATCTCATTCATTGCAGCGTGATTATAAGTGATCAGCTGTAACTTAAAACCAGCCAATAAAGTTGTCAGCTTTCAGATTTTACTGCTACTTTCAGCCTGGGCTATGTAACCCCCTCCTGCTCCCATTGCATCCATCCCTCAAAGGTTAAAGAATAACTTGAAAAGCCTAAAGGAGATAAATATAAAAAAAAACAAGTTTTGACAAAAAAATGACACTTTTTTTTTCA